AGAAAGCATATTTATTTACTACTAGTACATTGCAGGTCAGCCAGTTGCTCGCATGTTATGAAGTCAGTTCTATCGAAGATAATGAAGCATAGAATATATGTCACAAAAGCGACAAGAGGAGAGAACAGAAGTAAATAAATGCAAGGAAGCCTGTTCAATGTAGCTTGTATATTCTTCCGCGAGTTTACCGCAGTTTTAACACAAAAGGGAAACTTCAGTCTACTAATTATGCACTGTTCCTTATATAAGTTCATATATCAACATGTCTATATATATGTAGTATATATATAACAAATGACACCATGAATCAGGATCCTTCTTGAGGAGTCAATAAGCATTCACCTAGACAAATTCTGCTCCTTTGTGGGTCCCGAAGTTTCATTGCCGTTTTCACAAGAGAAAGTCACAGGTCCCTATTTTGAGTCAGCTGAAAGAAGCCCCCACACAGACCGCATATATAAAGAAGAAACGCATTATCTATTTTACACATTTGTAGTGGAACCAACTTATTTGCGTTTTGAAGAAAACTCAACATCACGGTAAGAATCAGAATCCTTCTGTACAGAAATAAAATTAGTTGAAAATTGGGGATAGCTCTACCAACAGGGGGCAAGAAGGAAGACGGAAAATGAATATTGTGGCGTTCCCCTTCATATCCGAGAGTTCAGAAGTACGCATATGTAAATGTGATCGTGGAAGTAATTATTATATGTTAATTATGTTTCAATAAAGTTGTGTCAAACCACAAGGCAATGCGAAGAGAATGGCCACTATGACAATATGCGAAAAAGGTAAAAGCAAAGGAGGCTGTTTCAGAAAAGTATGTCACGATACATAACGATGGTCCTCGCAAGTCATGACCACAGAAACTAGCCAAAGTTGTTTTCATCTCTGCTATACGTATTTATACTGGGGACTCCATATAGGCAGTGATCCGCAAGGCGATATGATTTATTACCATGGAACAAGTTGCTACTCCGTTCTCCCAGAAAACTAACACTGTACTTACACTGTTTCAATTTCCAGTATAAATACCAATCATGTAAATACTTATTGATCTATATTTCTGGTGAAGTATACAGTCTTCTAGAATATGACGCCGTGTAGTCTAGCCGATATACTCATATTTCAGAGCAACACACTGCCTCCATTTTCACGGTATTCCCCTCCTAACCTGAAGATGGAGGCAACGTGTTCTGCACGGCGCCACGTCCAAGAAGATGGAAGTCTTAATAGTTAGCGCCATAAGAACCTCAAATCTTGAAAACTTTTCTCTTCGGGTTCTTACAAATATTAATAGGGTCCATTTTCCACATGCTCGGTATATGCTGGTAGGGCTTTCTTTACTTTGTTATATTGTGTAAGATTTTAGGTTTTCACGACGGTAACTGTAAAGAATGCCGTATTCTGTGATGTGGCTCCGTGTGGTTCTTCTGTGAACCAACGTTTCGGAGGAACGTATCGTCTCCATCATCAGGGATGAAAAATCCGCGAGTGAGTCACCAGCTTGAGCAAGTCGCTTCATACTGATTCATCAGTCGGAAAACGCCCACCCTTTGTTATATTGTCTTAAAATATGAAGAATGCCGTCCAACTAATAACAGATTCGTTACTGCCTTGCGGTATAATTGCTTACTAAGCAAAAAGCTTTAAGAAACATGTACGATGTATACCGACTATGGATGAACTATATGTTGAAGGTAATGGAACCCACTGCAATTTCAAAATACGTGCCAACATTGGTCGGAAAACTTGTACACGTAGGACCTTGGAGTAAATGGGAAGTTAAAATTACAACGTTTCTTAATTAAATGCAATGTAAGGTGAAGACTGGCTTCAATTAACCCTGAACTGGAAAAGTGAGAGGCATTTTTGTGAACGCGGATGAGAACCTTCGGGTTCCATGAAAGGTACGGAATTTCTTGACCAGCCGAGCGACTATAAGATTCTAGATAAGATTATAAGATGTCATATTTACTATGGTCAGTGACAGCATTATCACTGACGTAGGCGATGGTTACCAACTACTAACGACTTGCAATCAGTGGCGTTTTATCTTTGTCATATCATACAACACTGCCTATGCATCCGGTTACTATCAGCGTAGCAGGTATAAAGATGCTTGTTTGGAATGTAATAATTATATAACGTTGCAAAGCAACGCCATATAACCCGCAATAAATATTAACTAACATCTCTAAGCTGAGCCCTTCTTGAGAAGCCGCCAGTTGTACAGCTACTCAAGAATTTGCCAACATTTTACGGAACCAGAAGTTTCATTACCGTCTTCATAAGAGCCCTCCAATATTCCATATCCTGAGCCAGATGAATCCAGTCCATACCACCCTAATCCGCCCGCCTACTTGTAGGTCTTCCTAGTGGTCTTTCCTTCTGACTTTCGCACCGAAATCCTACATGCATTTCTCTTCTCCTCCATCCGTGCTACAGTTCATGATATTCGCCATTAAAATATGTCACTGAGGACACATAATATGGGCTAAATTAATATTACGTAAATAATTCGTCTTCAAAAAGACCTCAGGTGTGTATCAAGCTTGTGTAACCCATACTCAGACGCAAACTTTGGCCCAATATTCCGTGTACTCATTGCTACTGGCTCGGTACACCAGCAACTTCAGAAAATACAAGAAAAATGTGAAATAATGTTCTGTACAATCTACATAACTGACAAAACATAAACCCAAGGCTAAAATGGTTAAGAGTTGTAAAACAAAGGTAATATATACACACAACACAACTAAAAATTGAGCTTGCAGCAAACAATAAGAAAAAGAACATTAGAGACCTATATAGGAGAATATAAGACTTCAAGAGGGATTACCAACCTAGAAGTAACTTAGTGAAGGATGAGAATGGTGATCTGCTTGCAGATTCCCACAACATTTTGAATAGGTGCAGGAACTACTTCTTTCAGTTATTGAATATACATAGGGTCAGTGATGTTACGAAGATAGAAATTCATACAGCTCAGCCGTTAGTACCTGATCCGAGCCCTTCTGAGGTTGCAAAATTGAAACGGTATAAATCGCCAGGTAGTGATCAAATTCCGGCAGAACTTATTCAAGCAGGAGGCGAAATATTATGTTCTAAGATCCATAAGCTAACTAATTCTATTTACAATAAAGAAGAATTGCCTGATCGGTGGAAGAACTCTATTATTGTACCAGTTCACAAGAATGGTGATAAAACTGACTGTAGTAATTATCGAGGGATATCACTGCTATCAGCTTCATACAAAATTTTATCCAATATTCTTCTCCGAAGGTTAAGTCCACATATAGATGAAATTATTTGGGATCATCAGTGTTTGCGTTTCGACATAACACATCAACTACCGAACAGATCTTTTGCATTCGTCAGATATTGGAGAAAAAAATGAGAGTACGACGAGATAGTACATCAGCTATTCGTAGACTTCAAGAAAGCCTATGATTCAGTTAGGAGGGAAGTATTGTACAATATTCTGATAGAATTTGGGATACCCATGAAGCAAGTTAAGCTGATTAAAATGTGTTTAAATGAAACTTATAGTAATATCCGTGTAGGTGAACATTTCTCTGATAAAATTCCTATCCAGAATGGTCTAAGACAAGAAGATGCTTTATCGCCACTCCTTTTCAACTTTTCTTTAGAATATGCCATTAGAAAGGTCCGGGAAAGCCAGGTTCCACTGACATTAATTGGGACACATCAGCTACTGGTCTATGTTGATGTGAATCTATTGGGAGATAACATAGGTACCATAAAGAAAAACACACAAACTTTAACTGACGCTAGTAAGGGGGTTGGTCTAGAAGTAAACGCAGAGAAAACTAAGTATATCTTGCTGTCTCGTCACCAAAATGCAGGGCAAAATCATGACATAAAGTTAAGTAACAGGTGTTTCGAAAATTTGGCACAATTCCGGGGTTTTTTTTTCAATTCAATTCAATTCTTTATTATGTATGTGCCGAGTCAACAGCCGCAAGGCCAATTACAGAGCACAGGGTAGATACAAGTAATTACATTATGGACAAACACAACATAAACTCATAGACAAATTACAGGCAAGCACTGGAGGAAAACACAATAATGCAGACAAGTAAATAAACAAACAAACAAATGATATTAATAACAATAATAATAATTTCATTAACATAAATCTAAGTGCTATTCAAAACTGAGACGTGAAACGTATATTTGGGAACGAATACAGCAAATCAAAATCTGATTCAGGACGAAATTAAGAGTAGATTGAACTCGGGTAATGCTTGCTACCATTTAGCCCAGCACATTTTGTTCTCTCGTCTGATGTCTAAAAACATTAAAATTAACACATACAAAAATATAGTTTTGCCTGTGCTTCTGTATGGTGTTTAAGAACAGGGTGCTGAGGAGAATATTTGGCCCGAGGAGGGATGAAGTGACGGGAGGTTGGAGAAAACTTAATGATGAGGAGCTTCATAACTTGTACCCTTCTCCAAGTATAATTAGAATGATCAAGTCAAGGAGGATTAGGTGGGCGGAGCATGTAACAAGAAGGGGGAGTAGAGGAATGCATGTAAGATATTGGTGGGAAAGCCGGAAGGAAAGAGACCACTAGGAAGACCAAGACGTAGGTGGGTGGACAATATTAAAATAGATCTTAGAGAGGTAGGATGGGATGGTATGGATTGGATTGATCTGTCTCATTATAGGGACCAGTGGAGGGCTCTTGTGAACACGGTAATTAACCTTCAGTTTCCATAAAATACTGCGAAATTCTTGAATAGCTGCACAATTGGCGACTTCTCAAGACGGGCTCATCTCCATGAATGAGCCATGTGGGCCGGCAACAGCTGACAATCACAGATCTAAAAGTTTCACATTCAAGTGTTCTACGGAGAATTAATGGTACACCATTTGTTTGAAGAATAAAAGAGGATTCATATGTGGGTAACTGTAAGCCACATACCAATAACTTGGTGCCTTGCCGGGTTAAACCCTTGTGAACAACTTACCGGTGACGCAAGCTGGTGTCAGCAGATGTCTCCGGCTGATGTCTCTTCCTCTCTGTCTTGAGTCACACACGCAAACTTCGTTAGGTAGTTCGGTTATGGCGTTATATTAGATGCCTAAACAACGCAACTCTTCTTTAAATTAAGTTTTCACGTAATTTGCGGAACAACTTATACTAATTAACTTTTAATTTATCATGATCATCATGCCTTCACTACTGTCCTTATTCCCTACAGTAAGCACAAAATTAACTCGCAATACGTGTTCAACTTTCCTTTATATTCAGGAATTATTTCTGTATGGAGAGGTCAGCTTTAAGTTGCGAACTATTTCACCGGTTTGTTCCTGTTAAGATCGAAAGTTCTAGCTCTTCTCACAGAACTAAACCTCATAATTTATGAGTAATGTTATGTAATTAGACAGCACACGCAACACCTATTAGAATTTCAAATAATTTGAACACTACGGTTTATTTGTGCAAATAATTAGCGTCGTTACATAACCTGCCACAATCCTTTTTGCAATCACACAGCAAGTGTTAGTTGCTTTATGGTATAGGATACCAATTATTTAGTGGTAAGCAAGCTGGCCAAGTATTCATTTACCTCTAATGTTTCTGCTAAGAATTAACTCAAATGTTAAACACAAATTTCATATACTGTTGTTGTCAATTTATAATCACTTCATCCTGAACACGTAATTCCTATATTTAAGATTCTGCGTCATCACTCCTTACAACAAAATGGGCCAATTTGACAGGTCTAGCACCGGCAATGCAGAGCTGCTGCTACACTTCCAACACAACTAGCAGACCTTCCGAAACTGACTTCGGCCGTCGTCAGCTTCCGGCGAGAGTGGCGCGCGCGCGTGCTAGTAATTTCTTTCACTGGCCACAGCGAGCGCTTCAGTCATTCCATGATAGCTAACTTCCGTGAGTGGTCGTGACGCTGAACATCATTATAAAATAATTCCGTTTATAAAACAATGTCTAAAATAAATACGTACAAAAGTGTATGTGATAATTCAAATGTTAATATTAATATAATCTCCTTGGCCATCAGTCGCATCATAATTGCCTAGTAATGTAAACAGACATGGTCTCAGAATTTTTCTCGTCTAAATTTCCAAATAAACAAAACACTAAGAAAATAAAATACGTACATACACATAATATAATAAATCCCAACAAATGTTTAATAGTAAACTGTGTAACCACATGTGATCCAACACGCATCTACTCACCAGTTGCGACACAAAAGCATAATTATCAGGTCTCGTATGAGAAATTGATACGCATGTACAACTTTAAATGTGCCTACCTTCCTCTCATTTTATCACGTTAAAATTTGACACTTGGGCCGTTTACACGTTGCAGACCTCAGTTATTCGAATAGTGACCCAGAATTTAAGAGTCCTGTATGCTATAACTGTACCTAAATTCGCTCTCAAGTTTTAGTCTTAATCCATCAGAGTTGTATGTGGATGTGTAAGCTTCCTCTCAGGATTAGTGGGCAAAATTCAGGTAATTAGTCTAAATATAATTGGAACGAGGATTAAAAATGATTTTCGTTGAATAATTATTCATAAAACAGAGAACATGCAAATACGTATTATTTTCCATTTGCCGGTGTAAGTAAATTATAATTTGTGACATACGAAAAAGAAATTTATCTTCACGTCCAGTTGGGACTTTCACGAGAGTTTACCAATAATAATTTGTCGCTACGTAATTGTGCAATAAAATAATACAATTTCTTTGTTAATTAATTAAAATTAATCAGTATTGCTTCGTGAATACCCTATGGAAGATATAATACTTTTAGACGGATGTTCAACTTTCTCACAGCACTTCAAGTGACTTAAGTTGTGAAAATACATTTTTATGCAGTACAAGGAACTATCTTATCTTATCCAAAACTGAAACAACTTTCATATGATTTCTTATTCTTAAGGTACAAGAATGCACAGAGAAAATATAATTCTATTTTTGCATTAAAACGAAGAAAATTAAAGCTTCTTGAAAGAAATTATGATGCTTAATTTTATTGAAATATTTCGGTCTACATAAGGAGGCAGTTAAGAACTATAAATTCATATTAATTCAATTTAGTGATCTGTTTTTGTGCAGATTCACTCTCCATTATATTACACAATATTTCGTCCGCGCGGTTCCTTTGTTCTGTTCGTTTAGTTCTCAGAAAAAAAATTCTTTCCATAAAAACCGTCTTTTTATGAGATAAAACGTGTGTCTTCTCTTTGCTATATGTTTATCCATTTGATGCACGAAACTGTTCTAGTCTTATTTAAGAATTCAGTTCCTACCTCACAGGAAACATGACGTGCGTCCATATTAGGGACTAGTAGGTGAAAAACGGGGAAATAATCGTTCTTCACCATAAGAACAAAAGTCCTACAAAATGCATAAGTACATTGTGTGGGAAAACTGCAAAGCTGTTTAATGTTCTACCTAGCTGCACCTATAGTAACTCCTGAGCTTTAAAGTATAAAATATCGTTTTGGCCGCGCCATAACTCAAGCGGTTAGTCGCTGGCTTCCCACCGCAGCGGCCCGGGTTCGATCCCGTGTCTGATTAAGTGGGATTTGTGGTGGGCAAAGTGGCCCTGGGGCGGGTTTTCTCCGAGTACATCGGTTTCCCCTGCCAGTCTTCATTCCACCAAATTCTCCATCGTCATAATCACACGGGCCAGGCTACAATAGGCCAATCAGTGGCCGCCGTGCCGAGTGGACCCAGTTGGACTCCACCCCCCCCCACTAAGCGAATTAAAACAAAAGCATCGTTTACCTAAAATTAGTTAAATTATGTTAGAGTCTAATATTTATTACCAGCTCAAATATATATTAATTCACTTAACATGTCTCGATCTATATTTGGCCATTAGCAATGTTTCCAATTATAAGGAAACCACTGTAAATTACATAAAATTTTACATTGGATCGGTGGACTTCTACTGTCTCTCTTACGCTTCCTGTTATATTACTGGAATATACTGTAGCATGTAGACCCATTGCTAGGCAACGACGGCGAAATAAGCAACTATACAATAGCCGTTGTTAAGTAATGACTCTTTAAATAACGGCCATTGCCAGGTAATTGCCGCAACACACGCGCATGCAACAATAGAAGAGATCCTGGAAGCTACGTTCTCTATGCGGTCCGTGCCGAGGCTACATAACGTGAGGCAGCCGCCATTAGAAGAGAGTCCTGAGACGGTTGTGAGAAGAGTAGCAGGTTGGTGTGAGACGGCCTCCAGCCTGGCAGCAATGAGTTAGTTGTGGGACAGTTACCGGCAGGTGAGAACGTGAGCACGGAAGCAGCGGACATTTTTAGGATCCGTCACCAGGCAACAACTGGTGAAGACGTAGTAGGCTGACAAGACTTAGTACGCTCTATAGTGAACTGTAGAGTGTATGAATTAGCAGTAGCGCCAAAGTTACATGTAGTTACTTGTTGTGTGTGTTCAATATATCCAATTACCAATCCAAACGCCGTCTACAGACACTCATATACGGGACAATATTTTCAAAATATAAATGTCGCAAACATCAACGTATACTGATAGGTGTTTTGCCTTTTGTCAATTAAATTATAATTATTCTTAGCCTCGTCATATTGAATCATTTGAGGTACGTAAGGTAAGGATCACACGTTGATCTCAGAACTGGTGGCTCAGAATATACTCCGTTACGATTCTGGCTAAAGTCGCACAGCTTATAAAGTTGTCCTGTTGCACTCAAATGTGATACAAGTTACATACAAAAATTGAGCACATCCTCCTACGGGAAAGCTATCCCTTAAAGTGCAACCAGAATAATGGTTGAAAACCCAGGAAGAAAAGCAATCCCCAGCAATGTCAAGGCAGGAAATAAGACCCCATTAGATGTTTGTATTCTAAGAGCAATATAATTCAATACTTCTGTAAGCGTAGGTAAAAAGTAAAGCTATCCTTGTAACAGGCCATGGGGGCCCGTAGGTTTGTGAGACGTCGAAGCTCCCACATTTTCTAGAAAATCGACACAGATGGTGATGAAGTTGTCAGCTTTGCGCGTCGGCCGCCCTTTACCCCCTAGGAAAATTCCTGGTAGAGGCTGAGTCGATTCCAGGGCCATAGTGAGGCTGGAAGGATTAAGTATATAAAAAACTCTAGTGTCCTCATCGGGAATGGAACCCTCGACCTTCCGGGTTGTAGTATAGTGCCTCAATCATCTACGCTACCGCGTGCCCCTTCTGTATAAGTGTAGGTGAAATATATTTATAAATTAATTTTTCTTTTATGTAGCCAATTATTTCTGATTAAAAAAGGAAAGAGGGAAGAAAAGAAGAAAGAAAGAAAGAAAGAAACATATTTCTGAGCCAAATCTGCTCGGAATTCGGTCGAACAGTCTCGACACCTGTGCAGTGAGGATCTCTAATGCAACTTTCGAGGCAGAGCGGGAACCCTTCTCCGTCCTTCTCAACCGCGCGTCTGTCCGCCCTTCCGTACCCCTCAATTAGTAGGCTGAGGATGATTAGGATATACTAGGGTCGAAATTGCTATGTTCCCAAAGTAGGTATTAGCCCTTAATAGCTATCATTACGAGCACGAGATGAGCGTCCAATTCCAGAAGCTGGAGAAAGCCTGAGCGCAACAATATAGGGTGATTTAGAAATACAGTACTTTTTAATTACTAGCGGATTTAGACAGATTCTTCCACAGAACTGAAGCGTATTAATATCTGCGTAATCTCCCAGTATAATTATGTTAAGCATATCCCTCCCATCACTAATACGAACATTACAGCCTCTCGAACTATATGGTTTGGTGACTGAATTCACATTGCTTCTAGTAACGGACGGAAACTGGCCATGGGTTGGATGCGAATGGAAGCATACAATCATGACCATCATGACCTATTTGAAAGTTTCAGCCCCACGTAGACACATCTAGACACGTTGATCTGAACAGTTAACCTCAGAAGTACGTGTAACTGACGGACTGTTCAAGAAAAAAATGAAAATATTAACAGATGATCGGTTCAATCCTCTGTCTTCGTTTTTATTTACATCCAGGCCTAATATGCAGCATGTTTCATCCCTTGAAACATGAACTTCATCTAACTGCGATTTAAAAATCCACGTCCTATTTCACGGAGAACATACTGTGTGACTACTGCAAAGTGCTGCCACTACGTGTTGCTTATCAGAGCTATTCCTGCTCTTCCTGCGAATCTTACAAAACCGGTCTACACAGTCTGTGACCAAATTGCGGAGCGTTTGGATGTTAAGGCAGCAGTACATACTCGTGTAATGCGTACGACTTTCGTTAAAATGTAAAGTACAAACCTAAAGTATGCAAGTTATGTTCGTAATAATGACGAAATCAAAATATAGCAAAATAATTAAGCTAAGGACTTAGAAGCCGGTCACGGTAGCCGAGCGGTTTAAGGCATGCACTGTCTTCGGTCGCTCGGAAGCCGGGATCGTGGGTTCGAATCCCACTCAGGGAATGGATGTTCGTGTGAGTTTTTCTGTGCTTATGTACAGGTAGAGACCTTGCGACGAGCTGATCACCCGTCCAAGGAGTCCTACCGTATGTCTAAGATCTAGAAAAACCGAAATGAACGGAGAAGTTCATGGAGGTAGGCCTAGGCCCACTGGGGCTGTAGTGACAAGGTAAAAAAAGGACTGAGCTAAGTCTGAGCCTAAGTTAATAACAGCTTCTCTGCGAAAACCACAATAAAACGAAGAGAGTCTGAATGAATACAATTAACTAAACAATTACGCTGCCCATTTTCCGCCCATTCTCTCA